TATTACAAATTTTTTTTTCTTTTGACTGGACAGGCAGACAACAGGGCCGCCGTCAAACCGGAAGAACTCGCAATTCCCGCCGCAGACAAGCTTCTCACTTGCAGATGGACTTGTTTGATGACAGCCAGGGAAATGATTATGAGGTTTGAGTTCTGCTAATTCACAGAAATCACATGCTTGACTACAATTCTAAAATGCTGTCTTATCTCTGATGCTGTTTGTTGCTTTGTCAGGCTCTCTTAGCGTTCGAGGAGCAACAAGGTGCTGTAGTAGCCAAGAACACTCTGACAAAGGCCGAGATCGAACGGCTGCCCATAAAAACGTACGATCCCACACACAGCGCAGGAAAGACAGAGTAAGTCACAGAACTGGATGCAACAAAAGAGATTTCCCATAATGCAATAGTTTAATCATACTCTCTTTACAGTTGCCAGATCTGTTTCAGTGAATACAAAGCAGGTGAACGACTCAGGATCCTTCCATGTCTCCACGATTACCACGTCAAATGCATCGACCGCTGGCTAAAGGTCTAGCTTGTTTTAACAACATAATCCCATAATTCACAGTTGCTTTTTACTAATCATTTTCTGTGTTTGTTACAGGAGAACGCCACATGTCCCATCTGCAGAGCGGATATATCAGAGTGTGGTGGTTTTTCTTGAGCGCACAACATCAGGACTCAGTATCTACCTCACAGCTGGCCATGTTACCCCATTTGACTTTTAAACAGTCTTATTTTGAGTGTTATTAAATACTTTTTAAATGCAAAATATTGTCTGATGTTTGAACCAGCATAAAGCACTGCCAAGCACTGTTTTATTTAGAAAGATCCTTCTAAAACATATCAGACACGACTGTATCACACCAGTGGAAACAAACCTGCTAGCAATAGCTGAACTTGAATTTTGGATTTTCAAATAAAATTGTTTAATTTTTTTTGCCCGTTTTTATTAAAATGTGTAATTAGGATAATATATGTTGCTGTTACAGTCGTTCTATCACTGCTGTTCTGTTGTTTATGTAAATATCAAGCAGCGTGCAGCATGTGATTTTATTCACTCTGTTTCGTAATATCGCTTCTTCAAGGCTCTGTACTTCCGGAGGTAATGGAGCGCCTCGAGCTCTTTCACCACGAATCCTCCTCGGCTGATGAGCTCTTTAATCTTCTCAGGGTCGTTCACATCTTTATTCTTGGCAAACGCAGCCCTCAGTCTGTCTCTGAAATAGTCGGCTCCTTTTGGATACTCCCGTCCAAGAAACGGCAACTTCAAGCAGAAGAATCAGAAGAGAAGACAGGATTATGAATTTCTAATGCCTAGAGTCACAGATGTGTGCAGAATGTTTTTATTTTTCCCCCTCCATACTTTAATATGTTTATCCCCTTAATATAAATGAAGACTGACTTAATATAGTTAGTTGATATTAGGCAGATTGTATTGTCAATTTTAAGTCCAATGAATACTTTTCAGTCTTGGTTTATTTTTTTTTACAAAAAAATTTAAAATACCTCAGCAGTTCAGACCAACCTTTTTGTCAATTGGCACTGATATAGTCTGAAAATGTAGATTATTTTTTATATTATAAAAAAAAACTACGAAAACACTGGGAGAAACGCTTTGGGTAATTTGACTTTTGACTCAGAACTTTGAAAATTACAAAAAGGGTTTGCTACAGTCAAAAAGAAGAAGTAGATTAGTGAATATGTATAATTGTTCATTTTGTTTTCATGGCATTTAAAAGCAGAAGGGGGCAGTGTACTCAGTTTTGTACAGCTGCACTACTTCTGCTCGGAGTGGGTTGGCCATTTCTCCAAGTAAACACACTTCAGCTGACTCGTTACCGCTCGGCCAAGTTTTTTTCCAAAGCGGACGGCGATGATTAGCTTTCAGATGTATTGCTGAAAAATCAAAACAAGCTTTGTTTTCTACTTACTTGCTAATGTCTCATATTGCCCTTCGGACGCAATGAAAACAACCAGGGGCATAACTTGTGTTGTTATCGAATACACAAATTCAAAATAAAAGTCCTCAACAGTTTAACTGAAAACGTCGATACACTAGCTAGCTGGTTACAAATACATGTTAAGAACCCTTTTTTTTTTTTACATTTCCGGGTTTCTCAGCAGCGGAAGTCGTCATAGTTGGGTTAACTTGAAGAGCAGTGAATGGGAGAGTACCACAAATATATTTTTTGCATTCTCATTTGCTCAAACAGCAAAAGAAAATCTCCACAATAGTGTTTTCGTGACTTTCAATAAAAGGAAAAAAATTGAGAGAGGCAGTCAGAAGAGAGTACAATGTCAAATTTACTGTCCCTCCCATAGACGCTGCATTAGAAACACCCTCGCATTAGCCTGAACTGTGTTTTTGTAATTTGATGCAAAGGTGATATAATACAAATAGTGTTATAAGTGTACATACATCTAAAAAAAAAAATACAAATATGAAAAACTTTCGAGGATTTACGATGCTGATGACCGTTAAACACATCATCACAGTCTTGTGAAAAGGGTCCATTGCTATTACATAGACATAAACAAAATAAAAGTCTTCCAGGTAAAAACAAACCAAACGTAAACATCGTATGCCATGGCTGTAGTGAAACCGAAAGAAAACAAAACACAGCTACACATGAATGCAGAAATAATTTATTTAGGCCAGTCCATTGGAAGACACCTAATTATTGTGGATTAGGAGCAGAGCGTACAGATAATAGGTTTGAGTTAGTCATTTGCTTTTTTTCCGCCAAATGTGCTGCCAAGAACATATGAAACTGATTCAAAATGTCATGTATTAAAGCACTGGCATTCAAATAATCTCCAATACACACCTTTTGAAGCTGCAAAATGCACAGATCTGCCTACTCTTACACAACATAACCAGTGTCCTTTCATTTTTGGCATGTGGTTTGCAAAAATTATCTGGACAAAAATTACGAAGGAGCACAATCCATAGTGGCAAAATTCACACGGAGATGGTTTCTTCACTCTAAAACATTCACGCATTACATATCCTAGGTGCCAATACATGCGACTTGTCTGTAAACTAGTTAGGATATACAAAACACACCTTGGGGAAAAAAAATACAAAGTGAGTTCTCTTCTTTGCTATTTGATTTTAAGGCATAGAAATCTTACAAAAACACTTTATAACCTGAAACAAATACAAAAGTGTGTGCCAATATGACAAATGGAGCAGCAGACAGTGAGCGGTGGTCTGCAGAGTGAAGGCACTAGTAGAAACGTGAGCTTCTCTCTGTCCTCTCTGATTCCGGGCAGTATTCCCCCGACTGACACAATGGGAGACACGTGTCTATGGATGTCTTTAATAATTGGCTCGTAGTCGTTTGTTTTCTTCTCTCAGTCTTTCTATCTCCTCGATGAGGGAGTCGTTCACAGAGTATTTCTCAATCAGACCATGGATTTCATTCTGGAAAAGATGAGTGGCATGATTAAAGAGGCGTAATAATCTTTTTTTTTTAAACTTAATTATGGATTTGGCCTGTAAAAGAGACAAATATACCAGCTGAACATAGAACTGCCGAACCATCTCCACCTGCAGGTTGATAATGTCTCTATGACAAGTGTCCCTGAGGAAACAACAAAACAGGCATTAGTGACTAAATGACTATCTAAATCCGAATATTTATCTGATAGATAGATGTTTTTGTTGTTGTTGTTAACTATAATAACCCTGATATATACACACCGTTTAGTTTAATAGTTTTGGGTAAGTAATTTTTAAAAAAATAAATTACTAATTGTATTCATCAAGGAAGCATTATATTGACCAAAAGCGACAAAGATATATATATATCTTACAAAAGATTTTGATTTAATATAATTGCTGTTCTTTTGAACTTTCTATTTATTTATTTATTTATTAAAGAATGAAGAAGAAAAAAAAAAAAAAAATTTAAGCAGCACAACTGTTTTCAACACTGATAATAATACAAAATGTTTCTTGAGCATCAAATTACCATATGTGACCATGGAGCACAAAACCAGTCATAAGTAGCATAGGTATATTTGTAGCAATAGCCAACAATAAATGTATTGATTGGATTGACAAATATGGGTCAAAATGATCAATTTTTCTTTTATGCCAAAAATCATTAGGATATTAAGTAAAGATCATGTTCCATGAAGATATTTTGTAAATTTCCTACCGCAAATATATAAAAACTTAATTTTTGATTAGTAATATGCATTGCTAAGAACTTCATTTGGACAACTTTAAAGACGATTTTCTCAATATTTAGATTTTTTTGCACCCTCAGATTCCAGATCTCATTTTTAAAAAATTGACCCTTATGACTGGTTTTGTGGTCCAGGGTCACATATTAGACAGATTTCTAAAGGACCATGTGACACTTGTATCACAGAAATAAATTACATTTCAGAATATATAAAAATTGAAAACAGTCATTTTACATTTAAATCAGTGATCTCTAGATTACTCTCAATCGGTGTTAACTCACCTGAAGTCCTCCAGTGCCTCATGGATCATATTACGGACAAAGTTCATCTGAATGGAGGTGAGCGGAGCTCCACGGCCCTCGGCTCCAGATTCGACTGCCGCCGCTGGAGCTTTAGATCAAAACATCCATCACTCACTGTGTCCCATTAAAGCGACTTTTAATCTAATCGTGGCCCATTCAAACACACCTGGTGCAGCTGCAGGAGGAGCTCCGCTGACCGGCGAATCATAGGTGAGCTGGGTGGGCAGATCTCTCCTCTGACCGGGCTCAGGGGTGTTGTACGTGTTCACAGACTGAACATGTGTGCTCTGAGCAGCAGGGGGTGTGCTAGTGACATCATACTCCTGCCGGAGACCGTTATTCTTCTCCACCTGTCGATAATCCAGATAAAAAATGTAATCTATAAATGCAAAAACATATCGGATTATAAATAAAGCGACCTTGTTGCCATTCTGTACATCAGTCTGTTGCGGTGGGGTAGTGATGGACTCCTCCTCTTTGATTGGTGGAGGAGTCTGAACCACAGATGGACTGTAGCAGCGACTGCCTGGAGTGCCCAATGGGGTCTTCCTCTGGGACGACCCACCAGCGAAATGAGGTAGGTATTCAAAGTCTAGTAACACAGAAAATGCTAATGTTGGTAAAAGTAAATGGAACCTTGTTGTTTTGTTGTTCTTATTACACTCATTACTGTTGATTAAAATGCAGTTTGTACAAACTTGCCTTTTTTTCCACTTGATACATCACTCAGTCTTTGCCCTTTGTAATCTAAAGAGATAATTAGCAAACAATTAGTGTGTAGATAGACAAATAGATAGATACAGTGCCGTGAAAAGGTTTTTGCCTCCTTCCTGTTTTTTAAATTTTTTTGCATATTTGTCACACTTAAAAGATTCAGATCATCAAACAAATTTTAATATTACACAAAGATAATGCAAGTAAATAAATGCGGTTTGTAAATGATGATTTCATTTATTAAGGGAAAAAAGCTGTCCAAACCTACCTGGCCTACCTAAAAATTAATTGCCCCCTCCTGTTAAATCATGAAAGAACTGTAATTAACCACGTTATTTTAGAAAGCTGAGTTCAATTTCACTAGCCACACGCAGGCCTGATTACTGCCAGACCTGTTGAATCAAGAAATCACTTAAATAGAACCTGTCTGACAAAGTGAAGCATGCTTAAAGAGCAACATCATGCCACGATCTAAAGAAATTCAAGAACAGATGAGAAACAAAATAGTTGACATGTATCAGTCTGGAAAGGGTTATGAAGCCATTTCTAAGGCTTTGGGACTCCAGCGAACCACGGTCAAAGCCATTTTCCACAAATGGAGAAAGCTTGGAACAGTGGTGAACCTTCCCAGGAGTGGCCGGCCTACCAAAATTACTCC